TAATATACGATGATAATATATACTAGGCACATAAAGAAACTGTGCATACAAAATTTTAAAATCTAAATTAATCAAACCTGTGTAGACACATAAGGATTCAAACTCAGAGATTAGTGACATGTATCCAACATGCATGCACGTGCCACGTTCCGTGACGTCAGTGGGTTCGTCCTTGAGACGTGCAATACGTTGTTGCACGTGCATTCCGGGAAAGAGAAACAGAGCAAATGAATGCCACACAATACTGTTACTTTGTAAAGCTCAACCCCTGCCCTTGCGATCGTTCAAAAAAATTAAACGGCTATTGAAACGCATAGCATGCCAAGGCTCACGTCTGCACAACGTCATGAGGCCATTGGGATGGTCCGTGGGGGAATGTCTCAACGACAAGTGGCTGCACATTTCCACTGCCACCGGAACACAATTTCTGGACTGGTGAGACGCTACCAGACCACAAATGACGTCATCGATCGGCCACGTGTAACAACGCCAAGACAGGACAGATGGATAAGGGTGACCCATCTTCGCCACAGGTTTCAGACTGCAGTGATGACTGGCCGAACCATCCCAGGACTTCGCCGTATCCACCCCAACACAGTTCGACAACGTTTACGTCATCACGGGATCAGACCACGACGTCCCGCCATACGGCCTATCCTGACACAACGTCATCGACAAGCTCGCCGAATATGGTGCCGAAATCATGTCCGCAGACCCTTGTTTTGGTGGAGAAATGTTGTTTTTACAGATGAGTCCAGGTTTAACATTTCCCATAGTGATGGACGTCAACGTGCATATAGACGCGTGGGAGAACGTTATGCACATGCCTGTGTCTTGGAGAGGAATCGTTTGGTGGTGGTGGCGCCGTGATGATTTGGGGTGGAATAACAGCACACCAAAGAACTCCTTTGATGATTGTTCAGGGCAACTTAACTGGTGTGGGCTACAGGGATCAGATTCTTCGACCTGTGGCAATTCCTTTTCTGCAACGTCATGGCCCTGGGTTAACATTCCAACAGGACAATGACCGCCCTCATACGGCAAGGGTTGCTATGGATTTCTTGCAACACCACAACGTTGACTTACTGCCTTGGCCTGCAAATTCACCGGATCTCTCCCCGATAGAGCATGTTTGGGACGAGATTGATCGACGTCTACGCCGTCTTCCTAATCCGCCAGATAACGTCCTTGACCTTGCAACAGAACTTGAGAGAATCTGGCGTGATATCCCACAAGCCTTCCTTGCACGTTTGATAGGCTCTATGCGTCGTCGATCCACTGCTGTTCTCAATGCCGATGGTGGACATACCCGCTATTGAGCTTGTGACATGGTCGTTTGACCCCTGTCCCGCTTGTGGACTCGTGACGTCATTGTGATTGACTTTTCGATTGAAATTCTCCCGACTTGTTATGGTCTCATGATCCCTCCATTAAAGTTTATATGTACCTTTGACATTGTTATCGTACTTATCAACTGGGATAATATTTTGACAATGCACAGTTTCTTTATGTGGCTAGTATATAATTTTCCAGCTATATAACGGCGGTCTGTAAATAATCGAGTCTGGACCAGACAGTACAGTGATCAACATCATGAACGTCTATCTACTTTTACTTTGAAGTGCATTGGGGAAAACTGGAGAGTTTAATTGCCCGTCTATAAATATTCTCACTAATTTCCATCCTTGGGTACAAAACAAAGATGGCCCACGAAGACATGTGGAGCAATACTACAACCAAGCTCGATAAGCAAGTGAACCCAAGCAAAAACAGGCTACAGCAATCAAACCTTTATACTCACCTGTATACCTACCTTCGGCCAGTTGATCACTGTCGATTTCCAATAAGTTAACCAGAAATCAGTACGTATTTGGTGTGAAAGCAACAAACAACAAAAAAATACATAGTTGTATTCTACAATATACTTAGTTTACAGGATTATGACACCACTAAGCTGGTTCACGGTGTGAGTGAGTGAGTGAACTGAAGGCGGAGTGTGTTGGTGAGTTGATTTTTGTGTGTGAGTGAGTGAGCTGATGCTAGGGTGTGGGTGAGTTGATTCTGGTGCGTGGGTGAATTAATTCCGGAGAGTGAGTGAATGAGCTGATGCTGGTAAGTACGTTGATGCTGTGTGTAAGTGGATTCTGGAGAGTGGAGTTTCGCATGTGGGGGTAAATTCTGGTGTTTGAGTGAGTGGATGCTCTTTGTTTGGGTGAGCGGATACTGGTGAGTGAGAGTGGTGTGTGAGCGAGTGGTGAAACACCGCTGCAAACTGTGGTATTGTTATATCTTAGCCACTCACCTCCATGTGGACGCAAGGATGTAATAATGCGACAACAAACCAAGAAACACATTATGTGAATATTCACAGTGTCAGTAAATAGTTTATAATATTTGTATCCCAGCTAAAGGTGATTTTAAAACTTTGTTCTACCCCCAGGCCATCATGAGTTGATAATAACATGTATTAAAACAGCTATATTCATTAATAGTTCTGCTTTATGAGTTTGCACCTAATATCCACGATAATGTATGACACATACCCATTTTTGTGGGAACTGTACATAACTAAATTACATGCATCAATGTCGTTACGTGTTTAGCATCATCAAACATGTATATATTCTGATCATCAGTGAAAGTAATAATTGATTGTTATGTGGCCTATAAATTCGTTATTTATTGTGAATGGTTGGAAACTAAGATTTAGGAAAAGTTACAGTCAAACTAAAACAAAGTAAAATTTTAAAATGCAGTAAAAATTGCTTCCCAAACAAAACAAATAGATTTTAACTGTAATTATCAGTATCCGGCAAGGAGAAGTGTTTATTCAATACAATAAGCTCAAAATCATAAAAGATTTATTGAAAAATCTTATTAATGTGGCCTTTTTCAGTTTTTGTCAATTATCAATCTGAATTGTTGGGGAAAAGTCTGAATGTTTGACATTCGGTTTTTCCTGATTATACATAATTAAAGCTTACTTGATGTGTAAATGTCACCTTGGTATATAACATACTTGTTATTTTTTGTCAAAACTTAAGTGGATTGTGTAGTTTGTGCAGGAGAGGAAAAGTTATATTGGGTAAAAATTCAGTCCCATCACATTTTCCTCCACATATTCTTTCATAAAGAATAAAAAAGGTAATGGTATTTGTAAAACTGTCAGTGGATAAAGCTTCTTTAACTATAAGTTGATTAAATTGATGGCTATACCCTAACTTTTCTGTAGCATCACATCTTATTTTCAAAATAGGGTGGTGCTTAATTGATGCACGGGTGTATATTCTGGGACTAAGCGTTAGTCTAACGGGTGAGCTGATCACAGGGTTAAAATCACGATGGTACAGCTGAAGCAAACTATCTGTGTGTGCGAGCGTGCGTGCGAGCGTGCGTATTAAAAGTGTGTATTAAAAGGTACTGCAACACTGAATATATTTCAAAGTATCAACGTGTTACCATTTGCCATAGAAAAGGATCTTATCCAAGCCTCGATTTAACGTACGTTCTGGATATACTGACCTTCAAGGAATAATAAAATTCTGTAGTTTGTTCATATCGATATGATCTCGTTCACCCTGACAACAGACCGCCTCCGTGGTGTAGTGGTTAGAGCGTCCGCCCTGAGAGCGGAAGGCCGCGGGTTCGATCCCCGACCGCGTCATACTAAAAGACGTTAAAATATGGTACTTGTTGGTCCCTGCCTGGCGCTCGGCATTAATGGGTACAACAAGGACTGGTCGGCTCGGAGTCAGTATAATGTGTCTGAGTGGGGTATTCATGCTTCACTGCGGCATGGTATCTCAGTGGGCTAGCACTATAAAACCAGCTTAAGTCTGGGCTAGTACAAGCAGCCGCACATGCACGTCGTCATATGAGCGAAATATTCTCAAGCACGACGTAAAACCCAATTTCACCTCACCTTCACCCTGACAACAATATATGGTCAACAAAGGGTGTTAGTATCTTGTCCTAGTAGTACTGTCTTGTGCCAGGTCCTTGTAACATGGAGTCACAGGAGTGTCACAACACACCACAACAGATCCACTTCTAAATCTGTCTGGAGGTAGCAGGTTGACATCGGCAGTCAATATATCATGCAGAAGTATATATGTTGGTTACCGGTATCTAGAAAAAACCATCAACACCTTGTTTTGTTTTGTTGTTACATTTGTTTATGCTTTATTAGTTGTTGTTTTGTTGTTACATTTGTTTATGCTTTATTAGTTGTTGTTTTGTTGCTGCTGATAACACGGAAGCAGACAGTATGTGTAGATTGCAGCAACAGATTGATATTTATGTGCGTTTCGCAATAATTGTGGCAGCATATATATACGTGTAGTCCGACTTCATTTTAGTAATATTTTTGTCTGGAACTGAAATTGCAATTATTTTGATATGACTATGATATTTATTCTTAAATGTCATGCAACCTAACGTTACATGTAGTTATATAGGAAAGTGTACAATATTCCCATTGCCGTAAAATATTATACCTAAGCCCGAAATCTAGTTCTTTCACCGTATATTTACCGTATAATTGATGTTTTTTGATAAAGTAAATGCCTTTGACTTAAATGCTTTACTGAATCGACTGCTATATGCTCAAACCGACACCATGTAAAAGTCGCAAACACATAAACTGACTGACTGACTGAGTTTAGTTTTACGCCGCTTTTAGCAATATTCCAGCAATATCACGGCGGGGGACACCAGAAATGGGCTTAACACATTGTGCCCATGTGGGGAATCGAACCCGGATCCTCGGCGTGACGAGCCAACGCTTTAACCACTAGGCTACCCCACCGCCCCGCAAACACATAAACAGAACGTCCGCAAGCATTGAGTTTGTCACCAGTTGATATGTTCTTGCCTTTACGCTAGATACGCTAGATAGAAAATAATAGTGCTGAGTTAAACATTGTGGGGAACAGTGGCAGAATAAATTCACAGAAACTCCACGAAACAAAGGTGGGGGTCCAAAAGTATTAGCTGTAAGATCAAGCAGGTTGGTACGTGGCTCTCAGTCTGTCGCGGACATAGTCATAGGAAGTGACGGGCTTGTATTTGCTGGACCCATCCAGACACTCAATGACCACCTCGTCGTCAGGATCCACAAACAGGGCCACAGACTGTCGACAACAAGCCTTCCCCTTCTCGGTGTCTGGGAGGATCACTCGGTGGACCTGGTCATATCAGACATATCGTGTTAAGCCGTTTACAAAATACTGTTATGAGGTAGTGTTTCAGTTGGGAATCAACAGGGTGTATTGTCAACTGAATTGATTATGTCATTGAACAATAAATATGAACGGACGTCAAACATCCGTTTCTAATACCCTTGGTTGTGAGGACCTCACAGACTATAGGGAGGTCAAATAAAAGGATTCTGAGCCCGGCAGATGTCATATTGTTAAATACGTCACCCTTGATTCCGGCATCAATAAACCGAACGCTAACCGCCAAAAAGGTTCATTCGACTGATTCGACACACGAAAGTGTGATTTAAATATCTCGAATATAATAGCACCGTCTATATTTTTGTCGATTCAGAGCTGTGTCCTCTTTTATGGCTTTCGAACAACAGAAATCAGATTTTGGAGCCTCAACGCTAACTGTATGACTTGGTACTTTGCCAGATCTTCTCACAGACAGATATCGTACCAGAATAAACTATTCAGTTTTTATGAGATTTCCGTGTTACTAATTTCACAAACATATCATGTAAATTTGGAAACTAGTAATCAAGACATCTACAACTATTGGTCATTGACATTTCTGTGATGAATTTGCCTGGATGGCCATATAAAATACGGGTCTAGGCTAACTGCCCTCCGGACAAGTGCCCCCTGGCTATCTACCCCCCAAACCACCAGTGCCTGTTCTTTCTGTAAGACTCCAATAAATGTCCAGATGTTGGGATTGCTAGCCTGTATGCTGGACTACAGGAGGCGATGGATTCCTTCAACAGCATTGTTGATGTCACTTTTAGTTTTGATGGGGGTTACTTAGCCTAGGGGGCACTTAGCCTAGGGGGCAGTTGTCCGTGGGGGGCACAATGGACGGGGGGCAGATAGCCAGGGGGCAGTTGTCGGGGGGCAGTTGTCCGGGAGGCAGTTGTCCGGGGGGCAGTTAGCCTGATACCATAACATACGTCTGTGCTTATCCGTAAAGTAACATGTAAGTTTAAAGTCTGGTGGACGTGATGTCGTGCCTACATTAGTTGGCAAACGTAAATGGGACACTTCAACCATGGCTTCCTTTTCTTTGACCATGAATTAACAAATGTGGCAATGACGGGACGTTTCTTTTTTGTGAAAGGAAAATAACGCCAGCGGGATTCGAACACGCGAAATCTGCACCAAAACCTAACGAATGTAGTCTTTTTTTCAATTAATTAGATATATAATTAAACCAGGATCAGAAGATTCTCCATTTAAGCACTACGAGTTATATGTGCGTGCCGTTGGGTAGTCTTTAGTTTGACTGACTGACTGACTGAGTTTGGTTTTACGCCGCTTTTAGCAATATTCCAGCAACATCACGGCAGGGGACACCAGAAATGGGCTTCACACATTATACCCATGTGGGGATTCGAACCCGGGTCTTCGGCGTGACGAGCGAACGCTTTAACCACTGGGCTACCACACCGCCCCTCTTTAGTTTGAAGAATAAAACAGATAGAACTTATAATACGGTCAAGACAATTTGTTTACCTATACATAAGGAACCGAAAATGAACATTAGCTGGGCTTTATATGCACATTATTAGCATCATATGTGTACCCGTTGGGGTGTGCACCTCACATGAAGTTTGTAGTGCACACTGACCCACTGACCGGGGTATTAATGTTAACGCATCTGCATGGAAGTTACCGCAATATTAGCACACACATTATTAGTTACTTATTGACATACCGTAGCTTTTAGTTTGTCGGCGGTGAGTCTCTGCATGAGGTCTCCAATATTGACAACTATCGTACCTTCCATTGGGGTGACTGGCATAAACTCTCCATTCGGTGCAACAATCTGGGAAGAGAAACGGTTTGAGTAGGTACTTCTAGATGTTTTACGGTAGATAGCAAAACACTATCTCCAGTTGATGGACCGTGTGTACACGGGGTAGACCTTCTGCCGTGAGTCAAACTGAAGGATATTTCAGAGCAACACAATCACTTTAGTTCATAATATTAACACGGTAAAACTGGACAAAGTTTTACCAATATTTATGACAGTATATATTATTGAAAACTGGACATGTACAGATTAACTGACCACGTTTCACAATCTTCAAGCTGCCAAGGGTTACATTGATAATGAACATCCGAAACCAGTATCTGGTCCGGGTCTGCAGATAGCAATAAGCTAATCAAATGCACTGTGAACTTCACCCATCAACACTGATGTCTTCAATACATTTATGAAAATTATCATATAATCCGGTCAAGATAGAGTAGCTTAAGTGCGCAGTTGGCACCGTATCGTCAGTCGAGTTAGGCAATAGGATTTAGATATAGCAACTGAAGTTCACAACAACAACTTTATCGTCAGTGTATCAGTAAATGGGATTATCTAAGATAACTGGAATAGGTATAAAACAGGGACAACACACAGTCACAAATCGTTCAGTGACTGCTGTGTAATAAACTCCTTGTTTATTTACTCAGGTAAGAAACTTTACTTTCTTCTACTTTGACATATATACCATTGTTATTCTTTGTTAACTTTAATCTGTTGTAAATACCTTAACTATAAGTTACAACCATGGCAGTACCTTCAGGTTTATGTGGAACGAGGCATCCCTTAGTATGTGTCTCATATCTTCTGTATTGCAGTTGAGGATTGTGTATTTCATACTGATTGACACTACACTGTTTTGTGACTATTATAGAATGTATAGAGTGTGTCGGATATTTTAACTATTGTATTACGTTGTGCATGAATACTATATGCTGTTTGGGACCGTTACATAATTAAAGCATGAACCCCCACTGGGGTGATGTGTAGAGTTCTGAACTATTGTTGTGTACATTGGAATATGTATCGCGATTAATGTAGTATGTGTCGTGTATAACGAATCTACATGTGATGTTTATGTACTTTGATATCTGATTGCATTGTGAACATGTTCTAATAATTAATTGTATTAATTGCTATTATTGACTGATTATGTAAAATCGTTCAGTGACTGCTGTGTAATAAACTCCTTGTTTATTTACTCAGGTGTTGTGTTGTGTGTGGGTTGGTATGGGCGGACCTCTTGCCAAGCGAGCTGATTCCCCAAAACTCGCGTTTTAATAGGTGGCGGAGAATCAAAAATCGACCTATGGCTACATACCAACCCACAAACTACAACAGTAGGAGCCGGACACCGACCTCCGACCCCCGCCGACGAATACAGCGGCCTTGGCGAACCACTGGAGGACCTTACAACCATAGCTTCGGGCCCAAACACAGACAGCGTTAATCCTCCAGTCACTATCAACGAGGACAGGATTGCGTCGGGCCCAAACACTGACGGGTCATCCTTCAGCCGTGCGACAACACACACAGTCTCCCAATATGGCATACGTGAGTGATCTGGTGCCAAAATTCAACGGTACAGGCAACGCCCGACAATGGCTGAAGAAAATGAATTGTTTTCGACAGTATCAATCACTCACAGATTCCGTCTTCTTGAACCTCCTGCCATTGTATTTAGACGGACCCGCTGCTACCTGGCTGGACTCTCTTCATCCAGCCCCAACAACCGCAGCCCAATTCGAAGCCGTCTTCACTCGTAGGTTCAACGACGTATCCTCACAGACGGCTTTCCTGTCCGCCCGCCAAAACGACACCGAGCCCGGCTCTGCCTTCATTGAACGTGTGCACGAGATGACAGCTGGCCTCCAGATCCCTGAGACCCTCCTTGTTCAAGTCATTATCAACGGTTTGCAGCCTCCTTTGAAGGGATTAGTCATTCCCCATGATCCACAATCACTAGAGACATTATCACATCAGGTAAGACTGGCTGAAGCTGCTCTTCAAGCCACCCAGGATGCCACCCCATCCATATCATCTGTGACATCTCCTGTGGTTGACAACGATCAACTGGCCACCATCGCTGCTCTGTTGACAACACAACAGCAGCAACTTGACAAGTTGACTGCTCAGATGGCCCACGTTCCCCAGAGGCAGAATGTCAACACATATATCAACCGTGATCAGTCTCACCAGCCCAGAGTCAACACACGGCGTTCTGCCCAGCCTCTGCAGCAACAGCAACGGCAGCAACAACAACAGCGGAACAACTACAGACAAACCTCAGGTAATTGCCGGGGTTGTGGTAACGACTGCAGGTCTAGAGTTTCATGTCCATCCTCCAATCAGCAATGTAGCTATTGCAGTGGGTTACATCACTTTGCTAGGGTATGTCGCCTACGATTGAATCAGCAATATGTCTTTGCGCCTGTTGGTAGACCCTGGCCTACGAGCAGGCACGCCTTAAGAAACGTTAGGGGTAGAAAAACGTCCAAATCATCTCTCAATAGGCATACCAGTACCTCCAAATCATCGAGTTTGTCCCATCAATCACAGATTAAGAATACAGTATATGTAACGATTGGTAATATTCACTGTCATGCCTTAGTAGACACAGGTGCCACTCTGTCAGTTCTATCTCTCCCCACTTTGAAAAGGGCCGGTATTCCTCTGTCCCAGATGCAGACCAGTACCCTCTCAAATGTTAGCGGTGTTGGGGGAGAGCACATTAAAGTACTTGGGTCAGTTAGGATTTCCCTCTACATTGATGGTATGACAATCGACCACAACTTTTTAGTTCTCAAATCAGTGCAACATTCAATCATCCTAGGGCAAGATTTTCTGAATCAAAATGAAGCCATCATAGACTATAGCACACATACTCTTGCCCTCCATCATGGTTTAGTCATGGTACCTCTCCAAACCACTGGCTCAGGTCTTGTACGTACCTGTGCCTCTGTCACTATACCTCCTAACATGCAAGTCACCATTCCCGTTAAGTTGAGTAACCACAAAGGTCAGTCATGTGCCTTTCTATTCGAACCAGTCCCTCAATTGACCACATGCAAATTGGCAGGTGCTAAGTGTCTTGTACAGTCAAAAAAGGGTAGGGCATGTTTTACCCTTTTGAACCCAACTAGCGAACCAGTTGTCCTACCCTCCCGCAAGGTCATAGCAGTTGCCCACCCTGTCGATGTTGCCTTCATACATCCCTTGGAGGACAGACCCCCGCCTACATCTCCAGGTAAGCCTTCAAACCTAAACTTTGATCTCAGTAAGGCAGATCTGAATGATACTCAGAAATCAGACTTATCTAGACTTCTTAAAGCCAACAGGGATGTGTTTGCTGCTGACAAAACTGAACTTGGTGTTACTAACCTATATTCACATAGGATAGACACAGTACCTGGCTCCAAATCTGTTCATCTGCCGTTCTATCGGAAGAGCCCTGAAGGCAAAGCAGAAACTGATCGACAGACCAAGGAACTTCTTGACCTTGGGTTCATTGAACCCTCCATGTCCCCATGGCAGAGTCCGGTGGTCTTAGTCAAGAAGAAATCGGGTGAGTTCCGTTTTGCCATAGATTACAGATCATTGAATAAGATTACCGTTCCGGCTTCCTATCCTTTGCCTCGCCTGGAAGATGCATTTGATGCTATTGGTGATTCCCATGCTCAAATATTTTCCACGCTTGATTTGGCATCAGGGTTCTGGCAAATTCCTATGGATTCTGATACAGCTCACAAGGCATCCTTTGTCACGCAGAGTGGCCTATATACATGGCGTGTTATGCCTTTTGGGCTACGCAATGCTCCCTCCACATTTCAGATGGTCATGGCAAGAGCCCTGCAAGGCTTGACATGGAAGCATGTCCTGGTATATGTGGACGATATTTTGATTTACAGCAAGACTTTTCAAGAGCATCTTTCCCATTTACAAGCAGTTTTTGATCGCTTGAGATCAGCTAATCTGAAACTGAAGCCAGATAAATGCAACTTTGCTCGTTCTAAAGTTCTCTACCTTGGCCACATCCTCTCCAAAAAGGGTATCAGAACTGATCCATCCAAAACTGAAGCTATTCGTACTTTCCCCCTCCTAAAAACATCCATCACCTTCGCAGCTTTCTTGGATTGTTCAATTACTATAGAAAATTTCTCAAGGGTTATTCCAAACTAGCAGCACCACTAAATGCCCTTTTACAGAAAGATACCCCCTTTCACTGGTCGGACACTTGCCAAACTGCATTTGAACAAATGAAACAAAGTCTTGTTCAGGCTCCTGTCTTGGCCTACCCTGATATGCAGAAACCATTTATCCTCACCACAGATGCATCAGGATCAGCAATCGGCTATGTTTTAGGCCAGTTAGATGACCAGGGTAGGGAACGAGCAATTGCATATGGGGGAAGATCTCTGAATTCATATGAAAAGAACTGGTCGCGTTTTAATAATAATAGACATGATTTGATAATGTCAGGACTTTCTTATACACTCTTCAAATAAAGAAACGCAAAGGCGTTTTCAGCAGTTCATTTCGATATATTTTGACAGCAGTCGTCATTAAGACAGTTCCTATGTTTGAATCCCGTTCATCATGTCGTGGTTGTTGTGTATTTCGCGCGCAAAAGCATCCCAAAATGTGTCTGTAAAAACTTGTCATAGAAAAATGAAAACGATACATGAAATGTTCATGCAGAATTTCTTTTCTACGTAATGCACGTGCAATGCGTCGACTGCAAGGGGTGGTGTCACCAGGCACTCGCGTGAACGCCCCCATGTGTCCACACACGTGCAGTGAGTGAGCTAAATTAATGCTGACATTGACAACAATAAACACGCGTATCCTTATGTCGAATTTCCTTCATCTGTGTACTTATGTACACTTAAATACGTTGAATACATTTCCTTATTTTTGGCCTATGCGTTTCTTTTTTAATAGTGTATAACAACCGAAAAAGCAGTTACTTTGTGTGATGATTATAAGTAGTTTGTCTGAGACACCATAACATATGTAAGCTCCCCGTCATGGCACCACATGCCCATCAACACACCTCTAGACCTCCACACTTGTCTTGAAACAGCAGGGTTAGCGTCCCGTAGTCGCTGTGCTCCCCGCACCTCAGCTGGCCAGGCTCTATAGCTGAAGTAAAGAATATAATATATTTTAAAAAAAATTCACGTTTCGTTTCACATGGGGAACTGGAGCCGGTTCCTCCGCATGACAAGACAACAATTTGTACAATGGACAATATACGTTATATATTTGTTTATACATACAGGCAGATGCAGGTAGAGGCGGATAGTACAGGCTTCGCAGGGTTCCTGGGCTCTTCCTGCTGCCAAAGCTTTGATGACAGTTACGGAGGAAATTCCTATCCTGTCAACAGATTGCATATACACGGTTTAGCTCACTGCATGGACTAAACTCATCCCCATGAAATACATCAATTTGGATCTGATTTAGGTGACGTTGAATAATGAATATGTTGTGCTTTTCTTTAAATGTTATATGTGCTAACAAACGGATCTACAAATATCACAGGGTTGCACATGATATATCGATCGAAAGCCCATAACATTAACAGATGAAGTCCGATTGGTCAGTGAGTGTGAATTGATAAATGGAAGGTTGCCTTACACCAAAAGGATGTAATTGTACAACACCATTAATTAAACCATTATGACGTCAAACTATTGTTGGTGCTTTTCACTGACCATTTTCCGAACGTGCATTTCAACAAAAAACAAACAAACAAACTGGAGCAACAACAGATCATTTTGTAAATATTTTGTTATATATCAACAAAAATATGTTATAAGTCAGAGATATCACTCGAACGAAACATCTTCATTATCTTACATGTGTCTGTTCAGGAGTGACAGCCACACGTTCACATCTACCGACAACCCAATACACAGTGATATGACGTCAAGGATCAGGAGTGACAGCCACACGTTCACACCTACAGACAACCCAATACACAGTGATATGACGTCAAGGATCAGGAGTGACAGCCACACGTTCACACCTACAGACAACCCAATACACAGTGATATGACGTCAAGGATCCGGAGTGACAGCCACACGTTTCCACCTACAGACAACCCAATACACAGTGATATGACGTCAAGGATCTGGAGTGACAACCACACGTTCACACCTACCGACAACCCAATACACAGTGATATGACGTCAAGGATCCGGAGTGACAACCACACGTTCACACCTACCGACAACCCAATACACAGTGATATGACGTCAAGGATCCGGAGTGATAACCGCACGTTCACACCTACAGACAACCCAATACACAGTGATATGACGTCAAGGATCCGGACCTGACAACAGCCACAGTGATATGACGTTCGGAGTGACACCGTTACTACCGACAACCCAATACACAGTGATATGACGTCAAGGATCCGGAGTGACAGCCACACGTTCACACCTACCGACAACCCAATACACAGTGATATGACGTCAAGGATCCGGAGTGACAGCCACACGTTCACACCTACCGACAACCCAATACACAGTGATATGACGTCAAGGATCTGGAGTGACAGCCACACGTTCACACCTACCGACAACCCAATACACAGTGATATGACGTCAAGGATCCGGAGTGACAACCACACGTTCACACCTACAGACAACCCAATACACAGTGATATGACGTCAAGGATCCGGAGTGACAGCCACACGTTCACACCTACAGACAACCCAATACACAGTGATATGACGTCAAGGATCCGGAGTGACAACCACACGTTCACACCTACAGACAACCCAATACACAGTGATATGACGTCAAGGATCCGGAGTGACAACCACACGTTCACACCTACCGACAACCCAATACACAGTGATATGACGTCAAGGATCCGGAGTGACAACCACACGTTCACACCTACCGACAACCCAATACACAGTGATATGACGTCAAGGATCCGGAGTGACAACCACACGTTCACACCTACCGACAACCCAATACACAGTGATATGACGTCAAGGATCCGGATATGACAACCAGCCACGTTCACACCTACCGACAACCCAATACACAGTGATATGACGTCAAGGATCCGGAGTGACAACCACACGTTCACACCTACAGACAACCCAATACACAGTGATATGACGTCAAGGATCCGGAGTGACAACCACACGTTCACACCTACCGACAACCCAATACACAGTGATATGACGTCAAGGATCCGGAGTGACAACCGAACGTTCACACCTACCGACAACCCAATACACAGTAATATGATGTCAAGCATCCGGAGTGACAGCCACACCTTCACACCTACCGACAACCCAATACACAGTGATATGACGTCAAGGATCCGGAGTGACAGCCACACGTTCACACCTACCGACAACCCAATACACAGTGATATGACGTCAAGGATCCGGAGTGACAGCCACACGTTCACACCTACCGACAACCCAATACACAGTGATATGACGTCAAGGATCCGGAGTGACAGCCACACCTTCACACCTACCGACAACCCAATACACAGTGATATGACGTCAAGGATCCGGAGTGACAGCCACACGTTCACACCTACCGACAACCCAATACACAGTGATATGACGTCAAGGATCCGGAGCGACAGCCACACGTTCACACCTACAGACAACCCAATACACAGTGATATGACGTCAAGGATCCGGAGTGACAGCCACACGTTCACACCTACCGACAACCCAATACACAGTGATATGACGTCAAGGATCCGGAGTGACAGCCACACGTTCACACCTACCGACAACCCAATACACAGTGATATGACGTCAAGGATCCGGAGTGACAGCCACACGTTCACACCTACCGACAACCCAATACACAGTGATATGACGTCAAGGATCCGGAGTGACAGCCACACGTTCACACCTACAGACAACCCAATACACAGTGATATGACGTCAAGGATCCGGAGTGACAAGCCAAACGTTCACACCTACAGACAACCCAATACACAGTGATATGACGTCAAGGATCCGAGTGACAACCACGTTCACACGTTCACACCTACCGACAACCCAATACACAGTGATATGACGTCAAGGATCTGGAGTGACAGCCACACGTTCACACCTACAGGCAGCCCAATACACAGTGATATGACGTCAAGGATCCGGAGTGACAGCCACACGTTCACACCTACCGACAACCCAATACAAAGTGATATGACGTCAAGGATCCGGAGTGACAGCCACACGTTCACACCTACAGGCAACCCAATACACAGTGATATGACGTCAAGGATCCGGAGTGACAGCCACACGTTCACACTGACCGACAACCCAATACAAAGTAATATGACGTCAAGGATCCGGAGTGACAACCGAACGTTCACACCTACCGACAACCCAATACACAGTGATATGACGTCAAGGATCCGGAGTGACAGCCACACGTTCACACCTACCGAGAACCCAATACAAAGTGATATGACGTCAAGGATCCGGAGTGACAGCTTGGTGCTTTGCTCATAGAACTCGTCATATGCAGCCCCCATTCCAAGCACGCTGACCGGCCATTGCTGAAAGTATACGGCTCGCTGTTTACAATCCACTGTATATCTTCATTGCATAGCTCTTATACATTTACTTCACACATTCTTCCTTGTTCTTTTAACAACACGTATTGTACTGACTGGACACTATGCAAATGCTCATTGTTGAAGTTCATATACTGACACCTAATTGTGTCCATCCACCTTGTTTCTGTCGACCATTTGAACATATGCATTCACTTCAGTATTGACGTTTTACCGGGAAATATTGTATTTGTGATCATTCAGAACATACTACGACTGCAACGATAACTAAAAACATACATTTACGATTCAATTACAAAAAGAGACCGTTCATAATGTATGGCTAGTGGGGTGATGATTTTTATGGAGAAGCATGTACAATGTGAATGACAAACCACCCCCCAACCCTCTCTAAAATGTATGTATAAAAGTAAGTGACCCCCTGAATGTCATGTACAAAATGTTGATCCCCGCTAAACATCATCATATCACACACTCAAGAAATGTATGTATAAAAGTAAGTGACCCCCTGAATGTCATGTACAAAATGTTGATCCCCCCTAAACATCATCATATCACACACTCAAGAAATGTATGTATAAAAGTAAGTGACCCCTTGAATGTCATGTCTAAATGTGATCCCAGCTTAACATCATCATATCACACACTCAAGAAATGTATGTATAAAAGTAAGTGACCCCCTGAATGTCATGTACAAAATGTTGACCCCCGCTTAACATCATCATATCACACACTCAAGAAATGTATGTATAAAAGTAAGTGACCCCCTGAATGTCATGTACAACACTGATGGCCCCCCGCCCATACCTTCCCAGAACAAAATGGGTGACACCCCCCTTAAAATCATCATATCACACACACACGCGCGCGCGCGCGCACACGGACACATACACAGACAGAGACAGAGAGTCATACATTATGAACGGTCCATAAGAGGCTTTTCTGTGGGTTCTAATAATTTACATTTCTAGTATACATGTATTATTTGCCCATGTAAGGGCATGGGTACTTACAATGTCAATTGGCCCATCGTAGGACGTATAGTTAAATGATTCTTTGAGGTCTCCTGGCTTGGACAGGTCCAGCCTGTAGCGTTAAACATATGTTGATAATAACAGTAACATAATCAGCATCATGTAAGTACAACTCATAACGGCTTGTGGTGTAATGTTACAACATCTGCCACATCTGAAAATATACAGACCACTTTTTATAGCAACTAATTAATTTCAAACAAATAATTTCGTAGTTACAGCTGTCTCCATTTACTGGCCAACACTGCTGAGATGCTAATCATAGCATATGTGTAGTTCCATTAGGGCGGTGGGGTTAACGCGTTCGCCAAGACCCGGGTTCGATTCCCCACATGGGTACTATGTGTTAAGCCCATTTCTGGGGCCCCCGCCAGATATTGGAATATTGCTAAGAGAGGCATAAAACTGACTCACTCAGTTCTATGGTTCGACATTGAATAACCTTGGGTTGAAGAGGAATGCACGTGATAATGCTTAACATACAGTTTGCATGCAACAAACGGGTATATGTGTGCTCTTTACAAATGAAGGCGGTACTCTTGGAAAACATAACATTTCCAAAAGAGTAGATTTAAGAAATACCAATAGTGGTACAGATTTCTAGTAATATTTATATATAAATACCGGCTCGGGTGACACTGTTACAAAAAGGCGTACAACATACATATATATATGCCAGTATTGAGGCTCATTTGGTTGAGTCGGGTTTCGATCAATCGATCATAGGGACATGCTGAACGGGGTCGATTGTTTGGGGTTTGTTGTGGGTTTGTTTGTATCTGTTCCATAGACTGTTAATCAAAGGTTCTACATTGAACGCCTTCCACTTTTTAAGGTATTGAAATATAGGGCGTGTATTTTACGGTAGCTCTATGAGATTAATATTAAGACAATCCACACAGCCGATGACACATGTAGCTATTCGATAACACATGTAGCTGTTGTATAACAGATATACACACATGTAGCTGTTGTATAAACAGATATACACACACATGTAGCTGTTGTAAAACAGATATACACACACATGTAGCTATTTTATAACACAGATACACACATGTAGCTGTTGTATAACAGATATATACACACACATGTAGCTGTTATAACACAGATATACACACACATGTAGCTATTTTAAAACACAGATATGCACACACATGAAGCTGTTGTATAACAGATATATACACACATGTAGCTATTTTATAACACAGATATACACACACATGTAGCTATTTTATAACACAGATATACACACACATGTAGCTATTGTATAACAGATATACACACATGTAGCTATTGTATAACAGACATACTAGTACACACACATGTAGCTATTTTATAACACAGATATACACACACATGTAGCTATTTTATAACACAGATATACACACACATGTAGCTATTTTATAACACAGATATACACACACATGTAGCTATTTTATAACACAGATATGCACACACATGTAGCTGTTGTATAACAGATATACACACATGTAGCTGTTGTAAAACAGATATACACACACATGTAGCTATTTTAAAACACAGATATGCACACACATGAAGCTGTTGTAGATATAGACACACATGTGTTGTATAACAGATATACACACACATGTAGCTATTTTATAACACAGATATACACACACATGTAGCTATTTTATAACACAGATATACACACACATGTAGCTGTTGTATAACAGATATACACACACATGTAGCTATTTTATAACACACAGATATACACACACATGTAGCTATTTTATAACACAGATATACACACATGTAGCTGTTGTATAACACAGATACACACATGTAGCTGTTGTATAACAGATATACACACATGTAGCTATTGTATAACACAGATATACACACACATGTAGCTGTTGTATAACAGATATACACACACATGTAGCTGTTGTATAACATATATACACACATGTAGCTGTTGTATAACAGATATACACACACATGTAACTATTTTATAACACAGATATACACACATGTAGCTGTTGTATAACAGACATACTAGTACACACACATGTAGCTATTTTATAACACAGATATACACACACATGTAGCTGTTGTATAACAGATATACACACACATGTAGCTATTTTACAACAGATATACACATACATGTAGCTATTTTATAACACAGATATACACACATGACTCTGTACAGTATGAATGGAAAGGGGACTCATACCGTTCCTTCGCAAAGCCTTGGTATCCATTTAATCCGCCGGTTGGAGATTCGCATGTTGCCTTCACGCATTCCGGTTGGGTGAAAAATGTCTTGTTAATTCTAAAGAAATCGTCAATCTGAAAAAGGTATGGAACCAGTTTGTGTCTGATATGGCACCATAGTTCTATCAATATTATATGTTATTTACGTTTAAAATTATAGTCACGCAGAAGAGAGGGGATGTTCTCCGATTCGGCTGCTGGTGTTGCAAACAGAAATACATACACTGTTATTTACAACTGGGAAACAGTTAAACACCTGGGAAGCAGTTATACACCCCCATTTATAAAAAGTGGTGTGTTTCAGCTAACATCAGTTTTATACATGCACAGTATGTTGGTAAAGCTGAATGGTTTTTGATGTCTTGATTACAACTAAACACAGAAAGGACAGTATCCATCAACGAGTTAATAATGGATATGGCACAATACAGACATTATCTGTTTTGGCTCAAGATGATACTTGATACAAGTATGGAGCTAGAGCGAGTGAATTTGGTTTTACGCACTTTTAATAATATTCCAGCAATATCATGGCGGGGGACACCAGAAATGGGTTTCACACATGGTACCCATGTGGGGAATCGAACCCGGGTGTTTGTCGTGACGAGCGAACGCTCCCCGCCCTGGAGCTAGAGAGAGGATCATATCGTGTATGTGATGAGATTGGTCCAGCGCTGCCAGTCTTGACACCAACGACATCTTGCAGTGATGTGACGATCCGTTAACGAATGTTTATTTGTTACCCGTGAACGTTGTATAATCAGTATCTAGTGTACGCTCCCACGTGCTTGGATACCTGCCTGTACCCCATGTCGCATACCCCAGTCAGTCGTGGTATCCGTTGCACAGGTAACGGTCGCCATTCTTGGTGCTTGTATCCGTGCTTGTATCCGTCCTAACTGTGCTCCAGGGGATTCAGGTCGAGTTACAGACCCAGCGACATGGTAACCAGTGGTGCTTCAGAACAGTGTTTGCCATGTCTTCGGACGTCATGCTGGGTCGTCCAGAACGTGTCCGAGCCTTGGTTTCCCAGTATTTTCTGACTACACGACTGGCGACCGTAGGCAACATTCACTTCCTGACATAATTGCTTTAAAGGACATATCAGAGTTATGCATACCAACAGTTTGCCATCTCTGGCCATCTGATAATCTTCTCCGTACCATAGTGGCAGAAAAATGATTGAACATTGTAAACCATGCTGATACATACCGACATGTTACACGTGCACAAACTGCGCTAGTGAAAATTCGTGGGTTTTCTTCTGGACATGCTCCACAGGGTGTGTTTGGGAGGCACTCTCCACCATGTACACTTGCAATAATTTCTTAAATGAATGTCATCATTTCTTAAATGAATATCATCACAGACCGACTGAACTTGAACATTGTTCTGTTAGCGGTCAACATATTTTGGGGTGCTTAACTTTTGCCCGGGTGTGTCAGCTTGTCAAGCATGAGATGGGGGTACAACGACCCAACATTCAGAGTTCGAGCTAACATGTGCGGTTAGCTCGACTTCCATTTACCTATGATTCCAAGGGAAGCGGGACATGTTTGTTTCTGTTAGTGGTCGCGTGGTTCCTGCAAGCATGTCGTCATACATTCGACAACTCTATTGTATTTCAACAATTAAACAGATTAAGTCACTTACCTTCTTTTGTGGCATTCCGTGATTTTTGATGTACAGAAACCCGACTGTGCTCAGAGCTTGACAGACGTTGCTTGCAAGTATATCTAACTCCGAATTCGACACCGAGTCCCTGTCTGTTATTTGTAAACCATAAGCAGAAAAATCTATTATCGGCACTGTATCTGCCATCGTGAAATTCACTTGAAATACAGACAAAGTTGGGATGACAGCTCCACCAATAGGTCAGGTGATGGGATGATATATCGACCAATGAGTCTGGTGCTGAGATGAAATATCTACCAATGGGTCTGGTGCTGGGATGATATATCCATCAACAGGTTTTGGATGGGATGATATCTCGACCAATGGGCCTGGTGCTGGGATGATATATCTACCAATGGGTCTGGTGCTGGGATGCTGTATCCACCAATGGGTTTGGTGCTGGGATGATATCTCCACCAATGGGTCTGGTACAGGGATGATATCTCCCCCAATGGGTCTGGTGCTGGGATGATATCACCACCAACGGGTCTGGTGCTGGGATTATATTTCCACCAATGGGTATGGTGCTGGGATGATATCTCCACCAACGGGTCTGGTGCTGGGATGATATCTCCACCAGTGGGTCTGGTGCTGGGATGATATCTCCACCAATGGGTCTGGTGCAGGGATGATATCTCCCCCAATGGGTCTGTTGCTGGGATGATATCTCCACCAACAGGTCTGGTGCTGGGATGATGTATCCACCAATGGGTCTGGTGCTGGGATGATATCTCTAGCAACAGGTCTGGTGCTGGGATGATGTATCCACAAATGGGTCTGGTGCTGGGATGATATCTCCACTAATGGGTCTGGTGCTGGGATGATATCTCCAGCAACAGGTCTGGTGCTTGGATGATGTATCCTCCAATAGGTCTGGTGCTGGGATGATATCTCCACCAATGGGTCTGGTGCTGGGATGATATATCCACCAATAGGTCTGGTGCTGGGATGATGTCTCCACCAATGGGTCTGGTGTTGGGATGATATCTCACCCAATGGGTCTGGTGCTGGGATGATATCTCCACCAATGGGCCTGGTGCTGGGATGATATCACCACCAATAGGTCTGGTGCTGGGATGATAGCTCTACCAATGGGTCTGGTGCTGGGATGATATCTCCCCCAATGGGTCTGGTGCTGGGATGATATCTCCACCAACAGGTCTGGTGCTGGGATGATAGCTCCCCCGATGGGTCTGGTGCTGGGATGATATCTCACCCAATGGGTCTGGTGCTGGGATGATATCTCCAGCAATAGGTCTGGTGGTGGGATGATATATCCACCAATAGGTCTGGTGCTGGGATGATATCTCCACCAATAGGTCTGGTGCTGGGATGATATCTCCACCAATAGGTCTGGTGCTGGGATGATATCTCCACCAACAGGTCTGGTGCTGGGATGATATCACCACCAATAGGTCTGGTGCTGGGATGATATCTCCACCAATGGGTCTGGTGCTGGGATGATATCTCCACCAATGGGTCTGGTGCTGGGATGATATCTCCACCAATGGGTCTGGTGTCGTCCTGTTCCGAACCCTCGTTACAATAATCTCGTGATACGTCACGTGATCTGTCATTGCTCCGACGGGGCGGTAATTAAATTTCTTGTCCATCTGTTGCACATTAGTATTTTATTTTGCTGGTGCCAGATATTCGCCAGTTATGTGTCATAATCCCCACTTCGGAATAAAACGCACAGGAGATAATTAGAATATTGATTTTGTGAGGTTTTATGAAACATTCAAACAAATGCAATATTGTTTGAACGATAATATATTCAGCAGCAAAAAAAACCGTCAGTACGAATTCAAAATTAGATAGGCACTGTAATCAAATACTTACAGAAATGGACATAATAAGCGGATCAAAAACATTTTTTGTGTACAATATCTTGACACATCAATGAATAACTCAGCACAATTCCAAGACATTAGGTGAAAGTTTGCAGTCCATTCAGACTCTTGACTTCAGTATCTAGTGTGACCAACAGCTGCAGTACAGCGACTATGCATGGAGTGCACCAATCGATTGATGAAGGCCATTGGCACCTTGAACCACACTCTAAGAAGGCCTGGCGCGATACATCGGCTGTGTTTGGCCTTGGTATGACATTATTCAGTCTCCTCTGAATTTCATCCCAAAGATATCCAACTGGGTTTAAATCAGGACTAAGGGCTGGCCACTGCATAATGTTGACACCGTTCTGCTGTAGGAAGTCCCGTGTAGCTCTGACAGTATGGGCCCGGGCGTTATCATGATGGAAAATGTTGTGCCGGTGAGGTGCGAAATGTGGTATGACGTGGGGTCGGACAGCTTGGTCGACGTAGCGCACCGCTGTGATGCCGCCTTCTCTCCCTGGACCAAGGTTCTGGAACACCACAGGACCCACTCTCTGGTTCAGGCCTATTCCACCCCTCTTGTTCTGCCATCTGCAGTTGATACGCAGTACCGACTCTCATCTGTGAACAGAACAGTACTCCATTGCCTGTATCGCCAATTTGGGTGTTGTAGGGCAAACTGTAGAAGTTCACGCCGATGACGAGGGGTGAGGATAGGTCCACGGTAAGGTCTACAGCAATGGAGGTTCCCGCTGTTAAGACGTCAGCGTACTGTATCAGTACTGATTGGTCTTCTGTGTGTTCCCACTGTCTGGCGTGCTGTTTCGGATGCCTGCATGAAGGGATTCTGTACATGCTGTCGCACAACATGGCGGTCTTGTCGTCTTGTGGTCACCCTTGGTCTGCCAGTACGGGGGCGATCATTTGTTGTGTTGGTAGCCCGGAAACGTTGCTGCAGCCTGTAGATGGTCCGAACGTTGACCTGGAAGTGATTGGCAACGGCTTGTGCAGTGTGGCCAGCTTCAAGTCTTCCTAGCTCCTGGTTCCTTTGAGAAGGGGCATTCTGCTGACGTTGTAATGTGAATGTTTCAACCAGGTTTTGGGGGGTGCATTTTATAGGGCTGGCCCTTGTGAACAGCACATGCAGCATGAATTGCATGAAAACCATGGAGAACACTGTACCATCTCCGAGATCAGGTTGCGTTTTTTAGACCATTTCCTGGGTTCCATTCTGAGTTTGGGAAGGAATGTCTTTGCTCAGGTAAAGTTAGAGATGTTCTCAAAAATATATACTAGCCACATAAAGAAACGCATTTGCATTGTCAAAATGTTATCCCAGTTGATAAGTACGATAACAATGTCAAAGGTACATATAAACTTTAATAGAGGGATCATGAGACCATAACAAGTCGGGAGAATTTCAATTCCCAAACATGCTCTATCGGGGAGAGATCCGGTGAATTTGCAGGCCAAGGCAGTAAGTCAACGTTGTGGTGTTGCAAGAAATCCATAGCAACTCTTGCCGTTTGAGGGCAGGCATTGTCCTGTTGGAATGTTAACCCAGGGCCATGGCGTTGCAGGAAAGGAATTGCCACAGGTCGAAAAATCTGATCCCTGTAGCCCACACCAGTTAAGTTGCCCTGAACAATCACCAAAGGAGTTCTTTGGCGTGCTGTTATTCCACCCCAAATCATCACGGAACCACCACCAAAGCGATTCCTCTCCAAGACACAGGCCTGTGCATAACGTTCTCCCACGCGTCTATAGGCACGTTGACGTCCATCACTATGGGAAATGTTAAACCTGGACTCATCTGTAAAAACAACATTTCTCCACCAAAACAGGGGTCTGCTGACATGATTTCGGCACCACATTCGGCGAGCTTGTCGATGACGTTGTGTCAGGATAGGCCGTATGGCGGGACGTCGTGGTCTGATCCCGTGATGACGTAAACGTTGTCGAACTGTGTTGGGGCGGATACGGCGAAGTCCTGGGATGGTTCGGGCAGTCATCACTGCAGTCTGAAACCTGTGGCGAAGATGGGTCACCCTTATCCATCTGTCCTGCCTTGGCGTTGTTACACGTGGACGTCCAGAACGTGGCCGATCGATGACGTCATTTGTGTTCTGGTAGCGTCTCACCAGTGCAGAAATGGTGTTCCGGTGGCAGTGGAAATGTGCAGCCACTTGTCGTTGAGACATTCCCCCACGGACCATCCCAATGGCCTCATGACGTTGTGCAGACGTGAGCCTTGGCATGCTTTGCGTTTCAACAGCCGTTTAATTTTTGAACGATCGCAAGGGCAGGGGTTGAGCTTTCCAAAGTGACAGTATTGTGTGGCATTCATTTGCTCTGTTTCTCTTTCCCGGAATGCACGTGCAACAACGTATTGCACGTCTCAAGGACGAACCCACTGACGTCACGAAACGTGGCACGTGCATGCATGTTGGATACATGTCACTAATCTCTGAGTTTATATCCTTATGTCTCCACACAGGTTTGATAAATTTAGATTTTAAATTTTTGTATGCACAGTTTCTTTATGTGCCTAGTATACAATCAAAACATTAAATGAGTTTACAGTTATCCGTTTCTGCGAAGGAAAAGTCCAAACTGATTCTTTTGCTGCTTAGTATGTCTGTTCTAATTATGAGAGGTTCAATGAACATATAACATCATTTCTAGCTTCTCCAATATAATTGTAAGTTTCTATTCGTAGTTCCGTACAACCCGGCCTGAACGTTTAGTACACGTTTATGTTTCAAAGAGTTGACGATGTAGATATATGGCTTAGAGGTGAAGATACGTACAAATTGGCCTATGTTGTTGATACGAAAATTTTAGTTTTTCCTAAATATTCTTGTAAAAGTCACACTCTTCCAGCCCATGAAATCCCCATACACAGACGCAGTGCAAGACAGTATCTCCATTTACGTCATGAGCTGAGTTGAGCTTTACGTCGCATCGGCGTTATTTCAGCCATATAGCGACGAGACCAAGTCTGCATGCATGGACATTATAAGTACTAAGCTTAAATGAGTTCGGGTTTTAAAAGCATGTTTATTCATTAACATTCTCATTTACAAATAGAAAAACGTGCATCCTGTATATTTACGAGGGGACAGCAGTGGACTGCAAGGCCCATACATGTGTTTGTATAAATGATGTTACAACAGTGTACGCTGAACAATACATGAATGTATGTATACGTCTTGAAAGGTGAGGGATAACCGGAAATACCTAAAAGATCCCAGAGTTGTTCGTTCTCATGAGCAAAATGGGAACTCATTACAAATGTTTGTGAAGTAC